CACTACACAAAAGAAGTTTGTTTTTACTTGTAAAATAATGGAAGCTTGTCTTCCAGTAAACAGGCGACAGTGTTTTCCTTCCGAATAAAAGTATTAATTACCGTTTCTGATAATCAGATTTAGTGATCTGTGGTTTGTCTGTTTTTTTTTTTGTTTTTTTCGAAAACCATTTTATGTTTCTGGTTATTTGGATGAAAGTTCTAAATACGTTAGTCATTTTTTTGCTAATGAATTTTTCAGTGGAGCTGTTATACTGATAGGTCTGTAGTTATCAGGTATTTGCTGGCTTTCCCTCCTTCAAGCGTTAATATGTATCCAGATTTCAGTGACAGGTTAAAGGTTGTTGCGAGATGCTCGTGCAGTTACAAGAAACCATTTTTCATTAGTATATATTATACCATCTTGTTCTGGTGCCTTGTATTTGAGCTTTTTAATAGCATGTTATGTTTCGGATAACGTGGTTTATTTAGTGAGCAGGTGTTTAAGGTATCATGTTCGTCCGTATTCTCTACATGTACAACGGGTGATGTAACTGGGAAGAGAGTTAAATAGATTTATTTTTGTTTATGAAATTTTCAACTTTATTGAGAAAACTCGTATTCATTGTAGGTTTGTTTGGTGTTTTAAAACTGTTTTGTAAATGTTTTCTGAAAGCCTCAGTTTTTTGTGTGTTTGTTAGTGTTAGCCGGCGTATCAGAACCTCTTGGTTGTATTTTACTTAAATCTTGTTTCCAAGCAGCCCACAAACATCTTTAAGACTTTAAAAACATTTTATAACCCCTCAAAGATAAAATTTCTAAAGAATGTTCAAATAAAATTGTTTATTGTACTTCTTGTATTAATTGTGAAAATAGGTTAAATTTCCAGAACTTTAAAAAGTCGACAAGATGAACACAAAACAATAAGTCCTGGCCTTACTGCTCCCAGCTTTGGCAGAACACGCAAATATTAATCTCTATCATATTAATTGACAGGCTATTTCCATTCCGCTTAAAAACAGACTATTATTCAAAATTATCATACAGTGAGGAACGAATCAATTTACACCTTTATCTTTCCATACCTGATATTTCTTAAGTTGTTTCGTTGTTGATGTGACTAGCTTATTTAAGCAGTGTAACACAGCATTGGCGTACTCCTGACGATGAGGGCTGGTAAACTCTCGAAACGTTAGGCCTTCATTTAAAAAAGAAAAGAAAAAATGTGTTTTATGTTTAGCTCAACTGCCCTTGAATTTCAATGAGAGTAAGTGAGGAATATATCACATTATTTAGGTTACCACATACTGTCCAAGTCAAATGTTGCCCCTTGGTATCCCAGTGGTAAGTCTAAGGGCTTGTAACTATAGAAATCGGATTTCCATTTCCGTGGTGGGCAGAGCACTGATAACCATAGTGTAGCTTTATGCTTAACAACAAACACACAAGCAAACTAAATCATATTTTACCAAAGATACCTATACTGAACTCATGTAGTTAATATACCGATCTAACTACGAGAACGCGGTGTCTAAAAACAAAAATTGATAATGATTAAAACGCATTGATTAATCAGTTGGGTACCCTCGTTGTTACAGATATTTCATACATACGATTGTAATGTTATACACTGAAATGCACGAGCGAATGTCAAACAAACACATTTTCAGAACCGTATTACTTTTGTTTTACTTGTTTCCCACACTGAAACATTATTGAACTTTAAGTCCCTAAATGGGTCAGTTTACGGATTTACAACGCTAAAATCCTTGGTTTGATTCCCTGTGGTGGACAGAGCGTAGATATGTCTTTCCGCTAGAACAAGCAATCATTTAAACTTTAAAACCTAGGGAAACTGTTCCCTAACTTGGTGGGAACGCTTAGGTAAAATGAATACATTGTCCAAGTGTTTTAGTTATATTATATTTTGTAGTTTTTCTTTGAATTGAATTTTATCAAAAATTCAGTGTGTTTTTTAAACATAATATATTTCATATAATGCCGTGGCCTCTTATGGCTAAACAGTAAGCTTGAGTGCTTATAACGGTAGTATTCAAAGCTGGATCCCTGCAGCTGACATAGTACAAATAACCATTTATGCCATTTCGCACTAAAAAAGCACTGTGTATTCCTTATAATACCTTTTGTTTTGTATGAAGTTTGCTTTCCGTTCTGTGTTTAAGTAATATCCAAATTAAATATATGTACATATTTATCCACCAATTACACGAGACTAATGAAATCTCGTATACAATTGCTTTTCTATATGATGTGTATTTATTATTTGATAGCTTTGGAACATTTCTAGTCAGTTGCGTACAGTTTCACGTCTTGTGCCTTCATAATTAATTCTGATGGCCATATGACTGGAAATGAGTAAAAATATATCATAAAACAACACACCTTACTTTTCTGGGAGATGTATGAGGTACAGTTTTTTTACTCGATCATTCTCAAGATTGAATTGTGTATATTTGGTAATGCACGATAGATGGCGCTATTGGTCAGTAACACTGAGCTGTTTGACAGTGATGTAAAATAGCGCGATTTGTTCTGATCGATAGAATGTGAAGCATTTCGTTTTGTGTTTTTTTCCTGCAGTAAGGTTGGCGAAATTTTAGCATGGTATAATAGAGAAAAATTATGGCTGCCATATTTTAGGATATGTAGTGTTTTATAAACATATCTGGATTTCTGCTGATGAAACTAGCCACTTGAGAAGCTAAGGTCCTGTAACTCTTCTCATTCACACCAACTCCTCCGTCTGCCCACACTATCGCGCTTCTTTCTCTTGTGAGAGCTGTTACTGAAGTGTATACGCACAAACACACACGTCTGTTGCATTGACTCATTTTCTTTACTGGCCAGTCGGGTGAAGCCTTTGGCACAATGGCTACGTAGTTGAGTCAGCGCTGAAGGTTTACATGTTTTATAAGCTCCAATACGAGGCTTCCTGTTAGATCTGTTGATGCTATTAACCAACTTGCTGCCGGCATAAACAGTGGCGGCAACTTGCTTACATGTATTGTGTGTGTAGAAGTTATCTATGCACCAGGGCTGTAGCACGGCGGGCTTCGTAGTTCGAGCTCGTTGGATTTAATCTGCCTTGGCCATGGTTTTTGAACGGAATTTTGCTAAATACGATGTTTCCTCGTTTCAGTGGCAAGAAAGGCACAGCGATCGGTCGCTCAGAAAGCTTTCGTCAAAGGGTAAGTCCATATTTTTTTGTGCCCTATTGTCAGATTAATTATTTATGCCTTAACATAATTTAAAAGTTTATGAAGTACACGAAATGTCAGACCAATTGAAAGTTAGAATTAACCCAGTGGAAGGTTAATAGAATATCGTTTGCTAATACAAACTGTATATGAAACAACTATAAAATCAATTAAGATGATAAAAATTACATTTTGAAGTATATTTTGTAGCATGACTAATGTCCGAATTTATTGAATCCAATACAAGTAGGTTTACATAAAGTAGAGTAATATAATTTTAACAAATGTAGGTGTATTTAAGTTTTTGGCTTTATGTTATTACAGCTTATTTGTGCGACTGTTTCAGTCTTCAAATTATTCATAACATTATTGACCTAACATGATGAAAATGCTAAAGTTAACAACTAAATGAATGAAACGATTTACCAATACTTGACGTTTTGTCAAACTACAGGTATTTATAAATATACTATAAGGTAGTAAGATAAAAAAATTGACGTTTTGTCAAACTACAGGTAGTTATAAATATACTATAAGGTAGTAAGATAAAAAAATTTCTACACTCGCTTAGAAATCAGACACAAGACTAGACCCGTAATTGTTCATACAGGAGAGACTATGTTGCTTATTACAGAGTAGAATTTTTAAACGAAATGCGTGATCTGTATTTTTCTTGTATATTATGTTTTGTAATGGAATAGGAAAAGCTAGAACGTCTACAGTTTGAAGTGAAGACACTCATTGTTAATTTTACCTCTATCGAAATTATTTTCCATTATTTGAGTAAACAGTGCGAGAAAAATCGGATGTGCACAAATGGAATTTTAACTTATTTTTCATTTTGTTTTTGTGATTAATGTTTTGATTGGCTATTACCGATTTACATTTTCGTGGTTGTTTGTGTTGTTTATGAAGAAATAAGCGAGGCATCTACAGCCTTTGGAATTATTTTCAAAGGCGGCTACCAAATGACTTACTAAGTAAAAGTAAGTGATACTTAACTGACAACCACCTAGAGGGACGTACGTGTTCTAAGCACGACCCATATTAAATGAACGACTATAGACTAGAGAATGGCGCGGACCTTCTTCCGTCTTCCGTTCCCAACCCACTTCCTCTGTGCTGTACACGTCCATCTGTTCTATACTTCTTGATATAATGATGACAAAAAATAAAAAAAAATTACGTTTCTGCACCAGAGGATTTATTGTTTGCGCGCTGTGAAGGTTGTAATTGATTGTCTTTTTAAGTTGTTTTCTGGGCTTATTGAATCAGTCAAGCATTTTACCATCATTCATAAACACTGTCACTCTTCCCTGCGTTTCATTTGTACATTGTGTTTTTCATACTGTTATACATTATGGTATACTTTTACATCCATAAAGACACTAACCCCTACTATGAGCAGTTAGTGTAAATTAGAACAGTAACCTAGCATCATTGTTAACTCGAACGGTCTGGTGGTTTAGTGCAGGTTTATCTCTGAAGTGAGGATTTGAATGAGGTCCGCGTTTGTATAGTAGTGAGTGTTTCTCCAAGTTGATTTTCATTTCATTTTTCAAAGAAATATACTAGTAAAGAAGATTATATGGCTGAATTATACAAACAAATTAGTAAGCTTCTAAAATAATTAACATGCTTATGGAATGTGTAAACTAATTGTACGATCGACTGATTAATAAGCATGAACTTATCTAAAGGAAACTGACTGACTGTTGTTTATTTGCTCACCAATTTTTTTTCCAAGAAAATCGTCGATTTATTCAGGACACAGTTTTATTAACCCAACAGTAATTTAATAAGTAAGCTTTTTGTAATATGAGAATGATACTCTAACTTTTTGATTCAATAATTAGAATACAGTTAACTAGTGAAACAAACTACATTATGTACATTAATATCTGATACTAATGTGTGAGTTAAAAATGAGATAGTTTATGGTATCACCTTATTCTACATATAACTGGGGGCTTTAGGAGATATTGTATGGTATCACCTTATTCTACATATAACTGGTGGCTTTAGGAGATATTGTATGGTATCACCTTATTCTAAATATAACTGGTGGCTTTAGGAGATAATTTATAGTATTACCTTATTCTACACATAACTGGTGGCTTTAGGAGATAGTTTATAGTATTACCTTATTCTACATATAACTGGGGGCTTTAGGAGATAGTTTATAGTATTACCTTATTCTACATATAACTGGGGGCTTTACGAGATAATTTATGGTATCACCTTATTCTACATATAACTGGGGGCTTTACGAGATAATTTATGGTATCACCTTATTCTACATATAACTGGGGCTTTACGAGATAATTTGTGGTATCACCTTATTCTACATATAACTGGGGGCTTTAGGAGATAATTTATGGTATCACCTTATTCTACATATAACTGGGGGCTTTACGAGATAATTTATGGTATTACCTTATTCTACATATAACTGGGGGCTTTACGAGATAATGTACGGTATCACCTTATTCTACATATAACTGGGGGTTTACGAGATAATTTATGGTATCACCTTATTCTACATATAACTGGGGGCTTTACGAGATAATTTGTGGTATCACCTTATTCTACATATAGCTGGGAGCTTTACGAGATAATGTACGGTATCACCTTATTCTACATATAACTGGGGGTTTTACGAAATAATGTACGGTATCACCTTATTCTACATATAACTGGGGGCTTTACGAGATAATGTACGGTATCACCTTATTCTACATATAACTAGGGGCTTTACCTAGCAACTACATTATTTATAATACCGAACTTCAATCTGTGTGTTGATTTTCAAAGTTCACGTTCAAATGGAATGATTAATTTTGTGTGTTCTGAATGAAAAGAAATAGGTGTTTATCCTCAAAATTTATTTTCGTGTCAATATCATGGTGACTTCTCTAAAACAGAAGAACTATGTTATGAACATTGATTTCTGGACATCAGTAGTGAAATACTTTGTGGATTCTACACAGAATTTGAGAAGCTTATAGTGGGAGTCGGGTTGTTTTGTTAATACTACACAAAGAAGTATTCTTATTTCATATCAAACCTAAATATAATAACAGTTTTCTTTTCCTGAACATGTGTTCGAAAAAACAAATTTCTTTTGTGTAGTGCGTAGAGAAACTTTTAACAGGGAAAGCTAGTGATGCTTTGTCCGTGATGCCATATATAAACCTCCTTGAAGATAGAAAGGTAAGAGTTAATGTTAAGTGCGTGCTTTTCAGAATATGTAACTCTGGG